CCGAGCAACAGCAAAAGTTCACTCCATGCATTTTTGTTGTTGTTAATTATTGGCCTTGAAATTTTTAAAAATCTCCTACGGACACTTCAGATGGCTTTGTTTTCTTAATATAGCTGTAGCTCTCAATACACTATCTGACTTTTTCCATCGCAACAGTGTTTCCTGGGGCAGGGAGTGGGGAGGGGATGTTAGAGTGGAGATGAGTTGAAATCAAGCTGATCCACATATTAGGTACAAATGTATAGTGGATTTACTATATATCTCTAGCAAATATGAATATTTTCTGGAAATTAAGCGAGAATATCGTGCTGTGCAGGAGAGGAGTTGTTGGTTAGGGTTGTAACTGAGTGTCCTATTGGATACGTGGAATAACATTTACAATAGTCTGTCGAAGGGGAATGATGGACACTAGAAGGGATAGTCTGGTTCTGTGTAGTGACTAGCTTGTAACTCACAGTGAAAAGGTGTGTAAAGTTAAAGTACAAGTGCCTGTACTTCACATTCTAAAATGGCAAAAAATAATATATATGCGCCTGTAATGGAATGTCATTGGTGGGTGACGTCCGCTGCATCTCTAAGGGGTAAAGAAGTGTCTAATGGCTGGCGCAGGAGAGCTAGGTTCTATTCCCAGTTGTATTGCTGACTTATGTCCTCTTGGGCAAGTCACTCAAGGTTTGCGCTTCCTCCCCTTTCTAAAGCAAACGGAATGCCCATTTCACTGGGTGCTGTGAGGCTTCGGGTCCCTTCCCCTAGGAATTATTAAAACCATTGTCTTTGTCAGAAAAGAACCAACCAAAAATAAACAGGTAGACCCAAGTGAAACCAAACAGAAATGTTCCCTCAGTATCTCCAGAAAGGTTGATGGAATTAAACCAGTGCATACTTGGGCTCTAATCTGTCCCCGTGGTGGTAGCAGTATTTCCAGTTCACCATCTGAAAACATGCACACTTGTCTATGTACATAGGAGAAGAAACAGTTTTTGTTGAACTATGTTTGTTTCTATCTAATTTTCCATAGGTCTCCAGCAACTAAAGGAGAAACCAAATGAAGAATCAGGACTTTGTAAAGATTCATTTTATAAGACTGGACTAAAGAACATAGGAAGCATGGACCCTGATGTTCAGTTATGCCAGTGTATTGAAAGGACCATCATTGAAATAATTAACATGAGTGTTAGTGGAGTTTAGGAAAAACAGAAATGAAGTTGGACTATAGCAAGTACGATGTACAGTTTCTAATTTTGGTAACAACTGCCAAAGTGGAATTAGGAATTGGATTGGAACCAGTAGTATCTTTCACTTGTTGGATTCTACACAAAGTTGTGGACTGATCCTGTCCAAAGAGGAGAATTCTTAAGGAGATCTGCACTGCTTTCCTTTGAAAGCCTGTCTGCCTCGAGTGATGTTCCTAAATGAAGACCTTTCTAGTGGAGTTAGGTTGTGAATACGCGCAATGTTTTCATATAACACCCTTTTAAAAAGCAGCCTGTGAAGTAAGCCTAACGTTTGTCTTAACGCGTTGAGCCTTCCCATCTTGCAGAGACATGGTGGGCAAGAGAAAAACATGCAGGGAAAATTGGGATTGAAAAGCATTAACCCAAACAGACAGTTGCAACAGTGTCTTGCAAAGCAAGATGCAATAAACTCCCTAAAGAACAGCATGGAGAAGACTGGAAAAACCACTCTAAATTGCTTCTGCAGTTTCATGAAGTCCTAGACAAAGACTAAAAATCATTTTACTCACTTTTCAAACCACTGCACAAGGTTTGAGTTGATGAGATCAGCAACTCTCAAAATATTAAGGCATTCATTTGCAAATGAGTCGGCTTTTAAAAAATTGTACAAACAAGTTTGGGATGACTGAAAGTCTTGAAACTGGTCAAAAAGTTTCAACAAATGTTAATACTGCAAAAGCACATTCTTTTTAAAGAACTTTATTTTTATAATGCTGCTCAATTATCTTTAGTATTTTTCTTTTTAAAATTGTTTACTTTAACAAACATGAGAGGAGCCTAAAGCACTAAATGCAAAAGATCTCTTGATTTATCATCTGGATAGGATTTAAAAATCAGTGGTCTTGAGGCCAAAGTGATAAACGCTAAATTGCCTTGTGATGAATGGCAGATTTTAGCCATAGCAAAGTGGTTCTAAGAAAAGAGGCATGTGATGGAGCGGTGTGCAGTTTGGTGAATTAAAAGGATCAAACCTTCACGCACCCAGAACTTTTGAAAGTAGTGAGTAGTTACTGCATGAAAGAAAACTGCAGGATAAAGCCTGCATTTGCTTGCATTGTGCCTGGTACACCCTTCTGCAGCCATGCACAAGCTCTTTTGGTGTAGCAGGATGACAGTCTCTACTAAAGCCATAAATATAGGAAAGTAAATGGCTTTGTTGTGTGAGGTAAGTGTAGTACTTCTAGCAGGCATTTTGCTATTAAACTCTACCATTCTAAGAGGATCTTCTGTTGTATTAAAATGACAGCATCCATGGTCTTTCTAAAAGAAAAAAAGTAAAATATTCTGTTTGATTAAACCTATTTTTAATCCCATGAAGAAATGACCTGATTCTCTTAAAAACAGTGGCCTTCACTTTTGTGTAGCTTGTCCTTCAAAGGTATCAGACCAGAGTGCAGAAAAGCTAATACTGAAATTGCAAAACCAAATGTACAATACACATTCCAGTATTATCTCCGTATTGATTGGTCAAAGCCTGCAATAACCATGTGTTAATACACTTTTAGTAGGAAGGTGGTGTGCTTTTTGCCATATGTATTGATGTAAAATATGTAAATAAGTTAAATTTTATTTGTTTTTCTCAAGATTGTAATATTTTATATGCTGTAGTGACATTTTAAGAGAAACCTAATGTATATATATTTTTTGGATGGATTCATAAACTGCTTCAGATGGACTTGCATGGATTGATTGCTCATTTCAAATTTAAAATCCTTTCCAAATTGGATGTCTGTTTACATGAAGGAGCACTTCCCTCAGGCCTCTAGTGCACAAACTAAATGGCTTTAAAAACCACTGACTTTGTAAGAAAGTCAGAACCTTCCCTCATAAATGGCTAAATGTCTGAAAGGTTAGATGTAATTGCATGCTAAAATTTAAAAATTACTGTCTGAATTCTGTCTCCATTAGGATTGTAGGTTTGAGCCCTGCATTTGCAATAGACATGGATTTCCCTCCCCCCCGCCCCGTTACTTATCCAGTGCTCTGTTGACAAACATTTAAAAGGTGAAGTTTGAAACATGAACTACCCTCTATTTTAAAGCAGAAGGCTTTCATCATTTTACCAGTCAGTCCAGACAAAGATCCCCACTACCACCATTGAGACTGCAGAAGCTGCATTATCTTGAGTGCCTGAAATTTCATGTGTTTAAAATGCCACATGTACCTCAGATGCAACTCTGCACTGCAATAAGCTGACCTCCAGATCCATGGCAACCCTATTCCAAGCATGTCAGTTTTGATGTGTTGTCACTTTTAAGAACCAGTGTGGAACAATATCTCACTTTATGTAGGATACCAACTAGTCATCAAATGACCAAGACTTTTGGTTACTAGTGATTTGGGCTTGACTTAAACTAACATCATTCATGTAGCCTTTTGCCAGTCTCTGAGCCATCCACTCCCTGCACAGTTAGTAGCTATTTAAAAAGAAAAAGTGAACAGCAATATTACTAGTATATGAATTTTGTAACTGGTTTGTATTATAGTCTGTATTTTGTTTAATCTTTCATCATATAGGCTAATCACTTTCATGGTCTGGGAGCCTGAGGCACTACATACAATACTGGACAAAGTGGGTAGGAAAGACCTGGTATGGTTAGAGCATGAACAGGTGCAAGACAGATGTGTTGCAAAGTCTGGTTAATCAAATAACTATCTGCATATATGATAGTTGTTAGCCTACTTACTGCTATTCAAATAGTAATATCAAGATATTTTTACAGACCTAGTTAAAAAATGGATGGACTGATTGGAAGTACCCTTTCTCAGCACTAGCACTGACTGTCTGCTCTCTGCTCAAATATACTCTTTTTTTTTTCTATGTGCGCATCTCTCTGAATTAGTAACCAAACTACATGAGCTGTTGCAGCACAACCTTGTTTGTTTTTTGCCAGTGTGTGTGCTTAACTCTCTCTCCCTACTTACAGTTAAGGTTAGGACAGAAATTTCTTCTCTTTGTCTGTAAAGCACTATGCTGTATGAATAACTGAATCAAACAGCCGGAATAGTTATTTGTCTTTATAGTTAGTACAATGCAAAACTAAGTAAACTTAAATCTATTGAACAAGATAGTGTGCCTGTCTATGCATGTGGACCTCAGTTGTGCAGGGGAAATGAGTGTTTAAGGGGGGGAAAAAAGCCATCAACCCAAACCCCCTGACTTACTGAAGCAAATTCTAGCCTATTTGCCCCAGTGAGGGACACTTAAGCGTTTCAGAGCAATGCCCCACAAGATGTCACTACAGCCTAATACAGCAAAGGACTGACAGTGAGGACATGGTCATGAGGCCTGCTTAAGTGACAGCATTTACAAATGCGCACTCAGTGATGGCAACCACTGCCTCAGGCTGTACAATTCTTGTGGGGAGCCGGCCCCCTGCTGTGCCATCTTGCTGTGACCTTGCCAGGCCCAGACATGAAGACTCCCTGGCCAAGTGGGGGCAGGTCCAGTGTGTCTCCTTGTGCCACCATTGGCCAATGTGGTCCTGATGCTAGCACACCTTGGCCATTACGGTCTCAGCCTAAGGGGAGGAGCCCCTCCCACTCCGGAAAAGGAGACCGGGCGGGGCAGGGATCAGTCACACCCCCTGCGCTTGGTTACCTAGGCAACTAAAGGAACCTGCTGGGCACCAGTATGGGCCTCCATGATTGGCTCCAGCAGCGAGGGGCGGAGGCGGGAGCTTGTTGGCTGACGAGGCTGCTGATTGGCTGCGGCGGAGCGCCTTCCTGTCAGCTGTGATTGGTGTGTGGAAGGTGGGGGGGCTAGGCTGAGCTGGAGGCGCGAAGGCTCGAAGAAACTGAAGGGCCGCTGGAGTTGCCCCCTGCTCTCTGAGGTAACCGGCCCGGGCAGTGAGATAGGCTCCCGCCACACTGTGGACACGGGCCGGGAGGCGGGGCCAGCTGCCGCGGGGGGGGGGCATTCAAAATGGAGGCGGGGCGGGCGTTCGCTGTGAGGGGGCTGTGGGAGACCGACTTCCTTTCGCTGGGGGAGCTATGGGAATTTCCCCTTCCCCCGGCCCGGGGAGAGCTCACGGCGATGGGCCGCTGGTGCGGGTTGGGGGAAGTATGTAGCGCCCCAGCAATATCTTCCCCCCGGGGCAGGGGGTCGTACGGGGGAGACCCCTGGGTATATCTCCCCTCTGGTCAGGGAACCGGGGGAGGCCCCTGCACACTTCCTTTTGCTGGGTGGAGGGAGGACTGCGGGAGGGAATCGCTGCAATCTCTTCCCCCCCCCCCCATTTGCCATGTTTTAGGGTGGGGGGAAGTGTGTGAAGTGAAGAAGAAAATAAAAAAGCAAAGAGACGTGTTAATCCTCCTGCCCCCTCCTCCCCCCCCAAAAAAAGCTGCGCCAGGGCTCAGTTCGGCTGGCCCGGACACAAACTTTTCACTAGGGCGTCAATATCGGTACAAAACTTTTCACTGTTTGTCAATAGCAAAAACAAAAATATCAACAGAGACCGGGGCTGAATGAGCCGGGGACCAGCGTCCTGCTGGGTTCGTTTCCCTTTCTACATCCCGCTCCCTGCAGTCTTCGGCTGTGAGTTTGTCTAGTTAGAGCTGAAGCGCTTCAGATAGGGACCTTGTTTCCTTGCATAAAGCAAGTTTAGCAAACTTTGGGCACAATAAAAATAATTGGTTTTGCTTAAGAGGGACGGTGGGACTTTCTGAGTATATTTGAGAAAAAGCTTTCTAAATTTGGGACAGGGGACTGTCCCTTTTGGGGGGGCAAGGTTAGGTTGTAATTTGAGGGTAACAGTCCTCCTTTTTTTTTTTTTTTTAGTTAAATTCCTTCCTCTGAGATTGTTTATGATGATGCGGCATCATAACAATTGTCATGATGGTCTTTTGATGGTGGTCCACTGAGACCTTTCAGTTAGGGAATTAATCAGTGAAAGGGATGTTGCTAAATTTGGTCCCAAATATTAACTTTGTAAAAAGAAGCTTTTTGTATAACCTAACACCAGGGGGAATTGTTTCCTCAACCTTAAAAAAAATATAGTGAACAGTTATTTTTAAACAAGCTACCCTATATTTCCCCTCAGTGTTTGAAATCCAAACATTGCATCTTTTGAATATGAAAGTGAAACTGACTATATACAATTTTCAACTCTTATTTTTCCTTGTCCAAAGTGAGCGATGTGCAAAAAGTTATCACTGTAAATAGTGACAAGTAAATTATTTTCTCTTTTAATAATTACATTATTAGTAACATAGATAAGAAATATTTATTTAAAACATTTTATTTTTAAATGTATAGTGTCCTTGTAATGTTTATAAATTGCTATAAAGATAGAAAATCTTATCTGGAAACCATTCTTCTCAGCCATATTACCACAGGATGCACTGTCTCGGGGTTCAAGCTAACCAGGGTGGGTTTGTAAAACTGAGGAACTGATTGTTTGTGATTATTAAAGATCCCAAAGTGCTATTCACCGGAGTTGGGGTGCTAAGCTAATATCCTGGCCAAAGTCCAGTTTGAGTGATTATATTCCAAAAGATAATACATATAGTATGTTAGTAATTATTATTATATCACTTAAGTTACAGAAAAATCATCAGATGGTAATAACTTGCTGTCATTACTAAGATAGGCTAAATTTGAACTGGTGACCTATAGGTGTAAAGCACTATATTCCCACCATAGCCAATATCCTGAACCACCTAATCCCCAAATCACCGTAACAGTTTATACTCAGTTTTATCTGGTGCCTTATGTTATTTGCAGATTTCTGATAACTGCTGAGGTAGAATTGATTTGTCAAAATTTTTCATTTGTATTGCAGACATAAATTTGAAATAAATAGGGGAAAAGAACCCTGACAATGTCTTTGGTAGTGTCAGAATATACCATTGGTGGGGTGAAGATTATCTTTCCTTGCAAGGCTTACCCTTCACAGCTTGCTATGATGAATGCAGTAAGTAGACTTGTCATTAAAATCTATTGATTTAATAGTTTATGTAGTGTTATAATTTTGAACCTGTAGTAAATTAAAAGTTTAAAAGGGAATTTAGATATGAATTCAGAACCTTCAATACCTCCAGTGTTTCCATTACAATACAAGCAACAACATGCTGTATTTACATATATGTGGGGGAGAGCTCAGTTATATTTTTGGAGTATTAGGGTGAATACATACTCCTAAACTTTTATACTAAATATCTTGTTAAATAGGTGTGCCCATAATGTATGCCTATTTAACTAGAGATTATGTATTAAAAGAGTTATTTGATATTGCAATGCAGAAAGGGAAGGCTTCAGCAAAATGCCTGCCATCTTTTGATCAAAAGATACCGTACCAACCCAGTAAGTTTTCATTTTATTGAGGGAGTAGATGTTTTATCTTCCACCTGTTATTAAATATAAAACTTCAATTATGACAAGGAAGTATTTAATGGCCTGCCATCATTCTTTGCTCCTATGACCTTAAGGATAAACAGATTCTGACTTGGGCCTGATCTCCACAAAAAAGTTAGGTTGACCCAGCTACATTGCTCAGCGGTGTGAAAAATCTACATCCCTGAGCGATGTAGTTAAGATGACCTAACCTCGGTGTAGACAGTGCTAGGTTGAAGAATTCTTCATTTACGTAGCTACCACCTCTCAGGGAGGTGGATTACTTACTCCAGTGGGAGAATCCCTCCCATTGGCACAGGTCGTGTCTACAGTGGAGCACTACAGCGGTGCAGCTGCAGCATTTCAAATGTAGACAAGCCCTTGATCAGGTGTTGCTGCTATATGGGGAGGAAGTCGACAATCCCATCTGAGTCACTACGGAACCTATGTTCCAGTATAGTGAGAGATGTTGCAAATGTCTGTAGTTGAAAGAAAACCAAGACCTAATGACCACTTGTGGTCTTGTGAGTTTTTTTTTCAAAAGTATGAACTTCTGAGCACCTCGTCAAATTCCATTTAGGAAATTACTTTCAGCTTGCCTTAAAAAAAAAAAAAAAAATCCCTGTGGTTTCAGCTAGAGATGTTCTTCACCTTCTTTTCTTAGTTACTGTCTTGTTGTTGACACAGAAGATTTACTGCACTTTGCTAATGGGAGTGTGATATATATACACTCCTCCTCCTCCCAGAGACAACATGAAAATTTACTTGTTAATTCTTCTGAGCTGTTAACTTTTTATTTTTTTCCTTACAGATTGTTAAGGGGTTAAATTCCAGGCAACATTGTTTGTTGGAGAGCCCCACAGGAAGTGGTAAAAGTTTGGCGTTACTTTGTTCTGTATTGTCATGGCAGCAGTCTCTGCATGGTAAGTTATCTCAAAATGCCCATATGCCCAGTTTCAGTTAGCAAGGATTGTCTGCATTAATAGATACATTAGGTCTGTGGACAACCTCAGAAATCTAGTTTTAGGAATGGACCCAAATCTTGTCAGTCCTTATGCCCATGGTTGATGCCAGCTTTATGGAGAATCAAGATAGTAGACCTAATCAGCGTTATTTTCATATTAAAATGGATATGGCTTTGAATGTTCTATTAAGGTGGTAATATGAATATCAGCATATTTAAAGAAAATGTTATTGCTTATCTGAAATTATATGACATTTTGAACTAGAAAATGTGTGTTTTCCAGCTCTGTAAATTATTGTAATTGTTTTTGACTATTATTCTTTATTGAGTTTTCATAGTATGCTTAGTCTGTACAATACATAGAGGAAGACAGAGTCCCTAACCAAAAGGCTTATAATCTAAGTAAATTACACAATACAGACCGCACCCATAATTTACTAATGGACCAGATCAAAGTGCAAGCCCAAATTAGTATATAGCAATATTAATAAGTCTTCCTCTGTTTACTGTTTGAAAGAGTTTGTGCTGCCTTCATTGGGGAAAACTGAGTTTACATGTGTTTTCTTTATGCAGTGGAGATAATGTCCTTATTTCTGGCTAAGAACCAAAACCTGCTAAATTAGATAATTTTTCAGTTTTTCTTATACTAGCGTACAACCTTATATACTATGGTTTAGTATGGCTGGTATACCCATTCAGAGGAACTGCGATGGATCTTAACTATATATGTGCGTCTTTTTCCTTCCTGTATAATGCTTACTCTATTGATTAAGATTGTGGTTAGTATTAACTCAAAGGGCCTATTGTACTTTTTTTGTAGCTGAATGGGTAGGGTTTCTGTAAATTACTTCCATATATCTGTTTTGTAAAGGTGTGCAACTGTTGTGGACCCAGTGACTACAAGTTATAGCGCCGACAAAATCTACTGTTATCTAATTATTCCTACAGTATGGAGAGAGCCTACTTCTGCAATATGGCTCTGTAGTTATGCTTTTATAACCGAAGATGAATGACCTTCTCCTGTCCTGTTTTTAGAGAAGTCACTGGATGAGTTCTCATGTGAAAAGGAATGCAAAAAACCAGAGACTTCATTGCCATGTCACTGTAGATGCCATTCCCAGGCTGTGACTAATGACACTACTGCAGATGTGAACCAAGGTGCTTCTTGTTCTTTCACTAATTGTAAAACAGCAACTTCCATAAAAAGTGAAACACCATCAACAGACAAAGGTAACTTTCTATTTTTTTGGGGGGGGGGGTGGACATCTCATATGGCTATTCAATTTGTGGGTTCTCATTTCTCCTATGATTGCCAATGCCACACGAGTCAACAACTTATCAAGAGTGCTACTTTCATCTTGCTTTCACCCACCACCTTTTTTCTGGGTCATTAATGGCTCCTGGCTTTAAAGTTCCCCCTTCCTTCCAAGTGTCCAAATCAAAAATATGTCATAGGATAGCCCTACAGATGAGCGTGTTGATGGTCTCTTATGCTCAGTAGTGGTTGCAAGTGTTCTCCTGCATTGCTTCTTACTAGTTTGAAGTTCAGGAGCCTATAGTCAGCTCCCCATGAGGTCTCTAGCACTGCACTATAATCCAGTCTACCAAAAGAAACCTTGACTCAGAAACGAGTACCTTACAGTTTTTACTAGCTGTTAAATATTAACTTCTGGAATTTGGAATGCTGGGGAAGTAGATAATTGGTAGTTTGCATACTGGGAACACCCTCATTTGAAGCCTCCTCTTCTTTTCCCTATGTGATTCACAGGACAACTAGTTCTGGAAATTTCAGTGAAGGAGTACTATTGTGCTTTTGCAATGAAGTATTTTACCCATGGCTCTTGCTATTGAGTGTAATCCACTATGTCCATGTGATCTTGCCAGTTTTTCTCAGCAGCAAGTACCAGGGTCATTGTATAAATAGATGGCACATTTTTTTCTTTTGGTCCTAGCCTTTGGTGTAAAAGTCAGCTTTAAATTGCACTTCTCCCTGAAAGTGTTTTGCCCATTGTTGTGAAAGGATACACCTAAGATAGCTTTAGCTGAAAGGGGGTGTCGGGAATGTCTCATTATTTTCTCATTTTGTTTTCTTTATGCATTTGACAGCACTCTTACATGGTCAGTTGGCAGCGCTTTTTCTGTGTAGGCATTTTTCCTGTTATTACTGTGGGACTTTCACTTAGCAACAGGGAGTAGAAGAGCATTGAGAAAATATGAAGATGTGATTTGTAAAACCATGAAAAATTGGCAGGGGACTAGGATAGGTGTAGTACCTGAACATTTTTTTTTTTTTTAAAGAAAAAGAAAGACTAGATTTCAAGTTGGTGGTATCCCTTTTTAATAATAATAATAAACAAACCTGACTGACACAGATGAGAGATTTATTGGAATGAGGTTGCCATCCCTGGCTTCTCATATAATTTCTGTGCCAAGTACAATATTGACTAACAAAATCTTAGATTAAATCTCAGTAAAAACTTCTGAATTGTAACAACAGTAGGACAATTGTACAGACCGCCTAAGCAGGTTGTGGAAACTCCTTCGCTGGAGTTTCTTTTCAAAAGGAGGCTGGAGCCATCTGTCTTGGATGGTTTGGACACAACAAATCCTGCATCTTGGCAGAGGGTTAGACTAGATGACCCTTGTGGTCCCCTTCTACTGCAGTCTAATCTTTCTTTATGCCTAATTCTACAATGAAGTCACATTCCTCTGTTACTGATGGCAATCTGTGGCCATTTTAATGATTTTGCTGTTGCAGTTCTGCATTTTGATTTTAGTCATAGGTGCCAACTCCGTGGGTGCTCCGGGGCTGGAACACCCATAAAAAAAAAATAGTGGGTGCTCAGCACCCACCAGCCATCCGCTGATCAGCTGTTTGGCGGCAGGCGGGAGGCACTGTGGGAAAGGAGGCAGAGTAGGGATGGAAAGGGGCAGGAAGAGGTGGCGAGAGGGTGAGGCCTTGGAGGAAATGGCGGAGCGGGGGTGGAGCACCCATCTGGAAAGAAGAAAGTCGGTGCCTGTGATTTTTAGTGGAAGGATGTGAGCTATGAACAGGATATAATCATTGCTGTTTGAAAGTAAAAATCTCTTGCGTTTAGCCACAATAGCAGGAACAATGGTAAAAGATCAGTGGAAAGCTAAGAGAGATGTTTACATATAAGAAATTTTAAAGCTTTTTCTGCTGTGACAGACCCTCTAAAAATATTGTAAGGATTAAATAGCTGGTTTTTCCTTACCAATATAGCCAAAATCAGTTTTAGAAGGGAAACTAATAGCTAGTGCAATGCTTGTTATTTTCTTCTGTTAGGAGGCCTCCCTTAGACCAATCATTTTTTCCATGTTGCATAGTAGTAAAATCCTAAAGTAATGGTTCTTCCTATATAAATTTGCCTGCATTGTAATGAGGGAAGATGGGGTCCAGAAATGTCTACCAATATTATAGTCCACCTTGAGTCTAAACTATTTTTTCTGAATAAGTTTCATGACTGGAAATATTATTTACATTTATTTAATACACTTTTAGTAATGAATACTCCTGTTACAGAACATAATGCAAAAGTCACACTGTCTTCAAAATTATCTGCAAAGAAATGGGCATCTTTACATAGAGATGAAAATGACGACTTTCAAGTGGACAGGAAAAGGATACGTTTATTAGAAACTGAGCAGCAGGTGAGCAAAGTTTATTGGCAGTAAAATAATCCAGGCATAGCCGAACAAGGTTGTCAAATATCAATCAACATTTCAGTGCTAGAAGTAGAGATTAGTTGGTAATGTCACAACCATAAATTAGATTTACTTTTTTTCTTCATTTTTACTATTACTTGTTACAAAGGAATCCATTGTTGTATTTGATTTTCACAATAACTTGTTATGCAGATAAATTACTTGATGTATGCTAGTAAAAGGAGAATTTAAACACTCTGTCTCTATGAAGCCTACTCATATTAATTTATTGCTTTTATTTAGCAAAACAAAATTATTTTTTTAAAAGCATTATTAAGCTGTATATTTGTCTTGATAACCAAGATGTACAAATGTTATAGTAACTTTTCTTAAATTATTAATTTTTGGTTAGCTTATGTTAGATGTGGTTAAACTGATGGGTATTAACAATGCACTGAGTTTCTGAAACAGGCACAGAATGAAGAAAAAATTAAAATTATAAGAGTAACGTTTGACCACTAGTTTAGCTCTGATTTAATGCCACACCTTTGTCTGTTGTTGTACATTTGAGTGTTGCATGTTTTCCTAACAGGTAAGAAAACGTCATTGTTTTGCAAAGGGAGTGCAGTTTGTTGATGCTTTGGAAGTTTATCAACAGCGAAGAAATGGGGAACTGACTGTTCACTCAGAAAAAATTGCTGCTTTCTCTCCAAAAACAGTAAGTAGCATGGGTCTTGTAGGCCACTTATTAGTTCAAGTAACAAAGACAAATTTTGTTGCTATAAAGAAATTGTGCATGAAAGGCCAGTTTACAAGATGATTTTCAGAAAGCATCCTGCTGCATCAGGATCTAGAATCTTTAAGTTACTTTGCTGGCTCATCCCATGATGCAGTCTAGAAAGGACTGGAGGGAAAGTCTTCTGGTAAACGCCTGCATCTCTGGAATGCCCTTTCCTCTCACTGTTAGTCTGAGTACTTCTGTAGAATCCTTTTGGGCAAGGCTGAAGGCTTTTTTATCTCCCTTTTTGTTTGTGTGCTGGAGGTAGGATGTTGCTGTCTTGTCTTGCTTTTATCTGAAAAAGTAACCCACTTAAAAACATAAGAAATTGCTATATTGGGTCAGACTAATGGTCATCTTGCCCAGTATCCTGTCTTCCAACAGTGGCTGGTGCCAGATGCTTCAGAGGGAGTGAACAGAACAGCGCAATTTATTGAGTGATCCATCCCCTGTTGTCTGGTCCCAGCTTCTAGCAATCAAAACTTTAGGGACACCCAGAGAATGGGGTTGTGCCCCTGACCACCTTGGCTAATAGGTCCATCAATGGCTATGTTCCATTAACATATCCAATTCTTTTTTGAATCCTGTTATACTTTTGACCTTAACAATATCCCCTGACAACAAGTTCCATAGGTTGACTGTGCATTGTGTGGAGAAGTACTTCCTTATGTTTGTTTTAAACCTGCTGCTTATTAATTTCATTGGATGGCCCCTGGTTCATGTGTTGAGTGAAGGTGTAAATTACGCTTCCTTATTCACTTTCTCCACACCATTCATGGCTTTATAGACCTCTATCATATACCCCCTCAGTCATCTCTTTTCCAGGATGGACAATCCCAGTCTCTCTGTAATCTCTCCTCATATCGAAGTTGTTCCATATCCCTAATAATTTTTGTTGCTCTTTTCCAGTTCTCTCTCTTATTGCATTATGAAATTTTCTGTCCTATTATCTATCCCTTTCCTAAAGGTTCCTAACATTCAGTTAGCTTTTTGATTGTTGCTGCACATTGAACAGATGTTTTCAAAGAAATATCAATGATGTCTCCAAAATCTCTCTTTTTTGAGTGGTAACAGCAAATTTAGATCACATAATTTTGTTTGTACAGTTGAGATTATGTTTTCCAAAGTCCATTGCTTTTCATTTATGAACACTGAATTTCATCTCCCATTTTGTTGCCCCGCCACCCAGTTTTGAGAGATCCCTTTGTAACTCTTCACAGTCTGCTTTGGACTTAACTATCTTGAGTAATTTTGTATCATCTGCAAACTTTGCCAACACGCTGGTTACCCCTTTTTACGGATCATTTATGAATATGTTGAACAGCACTGTCCCTGCACAGATCCTTGGGGCACTTTGAAAACTGGCTGTTTATTCCTACCCTTTGTTTCCAATCTCTTAACCAATTACTGATCCATGAGAGAACCTTCACTCTTATTCACTCCTTGCTTTGCTAAAGAGCCTTTGGTGAGGGACCTTGTCAAAAGCTTTCTGAAAGTTCAGTTACACTGTATCACCCTTGTCCGTGTTTGTTGACAACCTGAAAGAATTCTGATGGATTGGTGCGGCATGATTTCCCTTTACAAAGCTGTGTGGACTCTTCCCCCAACAAATCATGTTCATCTGTTTGTCTGATAATTTTTCTGTGTCTGATAAAATTTGTTTTGTAAAGAGGCACAGGTGCCTAAAAAGTTAAAACTGATTACTGTTTTCTAACATTGTTACAAATTGTCACTTTTCCTAGCAGAACTTCCAAGAAAATGCAAGTTTCTTAAGGGAAACAGACTCAGAAATATGCAGTGGTATTTGCAGAGTTCCCCACTGGAAATTTGTTGCAATTTTTGGTGTTTGAGTTTTCTTCACTTTATTAGGAGGAGGGAGGTGGTGGAGGGCGGGGAAGTAATAACAACATTGTTCAAGCTAAACCAAAATAAAAAGAATATGAGACATTCCTAAAGTCAGTCCTACAGGGCTGATGCAGGAAAGTTGGATCACCTCAATGATATGTGAGGCTACTTAATGGCATTCGCATGAATTCTTATTGAAGGGCTATGCCAGAGTGGTCGCTACCAGTGCTAAAAAGTAGGATGAGAGTGAAGAGCTGCATGGGTTTGGCAGACAAACACAAGAGGAGAGGAGAATCTTTCCCTTTTTCAAAACTCCCAAGGATACTCTCTCCTTCCCATTTGTTTTTTGGACTTTTAAGTAATTCCCAGGTAATATGCATCTCTAGGTAATCCAGCACTAGAATAAAATATAGTCATTTGCATTTCATAGTGTATTAAAATCTGATAGAAGAATCAGTCAGTCTTTGGAAACACCCCTGAGCTGATGACCAGCTGGAGCCTCTTTTCTCTGTCTGATACACTCTCGGACCTTTGTATACATCTTTATGAACAATGACTTAAACATTATTTTTTATTTTAACTGTACACTTCTGGGTCCAGTTTGCACCTGCCTTTTTGAACTACAAAACAAACCAAAAGTTGTAATACTAATTTAAATACTGGTAGTTAATTATTTTCTTTTTTACAAAAGAGAACCAGTACTCTTGTTCATTTTAATGGGCAGTACATTTTATTATTGTTTTGGAAAGCTTCAGAGGTTTTCAAGTGGCATTTTTAAATGCCTCATGCTACTGAAATCAATTGGCATTGTGAAATCTGAAGGCCAGCAGAGTGTGCTGTTGGTTTTCAAATAAAAATATTTTCTTGCTTTATTGACCTTCACATTGAAGGGGACAGTGTTGTGGATTTGCTCAAAAAATTGAAAGATGGTTTAGAGGTTCTAGAATTTTTTATAAGTAGTGACAGTAACTAAGAATTTGTAGTGTTTGAGGAGCATTTTGCAACTCATTTTTAAGATAATTTACTACTTACATTAAAATAATTTAAAAAAAACCACACTGAATAAGAGAATTATCTATTATCTTCCTTCGCATCAGAAGGAAATCTATATTACTTCTGGGTTAACATTTGAGCAGTGCATATAATATGCCATCTATAGGCCTCATCTTGCAAATACTTACAGAAATAATGCTTAGTACCTGAATAATCTTGTTGATGTCCGGAAGGCTACTCAAGCAATAATAATGAAGCCCAGAAACTTTGGGCCCATGTTTGTGGCTATGCTTTCCAGATTTGGTAACAATTTGCGTAGTCTCACTCTTGGGCGTTGAAGAAGTCTGATACATTTATGCCTCTAGTCTTCTGTGGTGATGAAAAAGCTAGTATTGGATACAAATTTGGCACCTCCTAAAGTCAGGAAAAGTAAGATCATCTAAAACAAGACAGAGGATGTGTTTGGGATTAACAGTGAAGGGGGAAAATTCATGGGTGCAAAGTTTGAAGACCTATTTGGACACATCTTATGTAATATAAAAAAGAAACCATTACATGTATTTTGGCATGGTAAATATGAAAAACTTTCTCTCAGTGTACTTTTCTGGGAATGTCATTGGCACTGGAAGCAAATACTGCAGTTTTTGTGTTCTATTCCTGAAAGAACAAAGCTGCACCCTATGAAGTTGGTCTCATTAAGTCTTTTGAAATTCTTAAGTTTGCAAGACACAGGTGTCTCAGATTTAAAGTCTCTGTTTAACTTCCTCCTAAATAATTTTTGGGTTTAAAATAATTTATAATCCAGTTCACAATTGCCACCTTGGAGTTTGATTATTTTAGTTCAGGACTCTGGAAGGCAGGAAAAAATGATGAACTAAGTTAGATAATGAATGGGTGCACAATAGCAGCATTATTAACTAATTAATTATTTAAATGTCAAGCTTTAAAAAGTAAAATTAATATGGAAAATGAGACATCCATATCAGGTGATGGGGTTTTTGGAGGACACAAAAGGGTGAAATGCTGTATAGTGGAAGGATTCCAAAAATTTGAGAATTATGTAATTGTGTTGTAGCACATCATATTTCTGGATAAATGTATCAACTTTTCCTCCACATTTCTTATGGTTCTTCTAGAAATCAAAAGCGAAAAAAACAAATTCTGAAGCTGCTTAGAAGTCTGTATTTGGGCTCAAAGTTTGAGGCTATATTTTGAAATCTAAGGTGCAGCTCTGAACTACTAAAGAAATAGAGTCCATTATGGTTGTTTAAAACAGATGAGATTTGAGTTTGCCACTAGATCTGACTAGACTTCCAGTATATTTTTATCTTTCAATTTAACAGATATCTAATTTCCTTGTTGCTTTTGTGGGAAGGGCTGTAGTTGGGAATATTTGCAGGATCGAGGATATGTGGAACAATTTCTCTTCCTCATTAATATGATTGTGCTAAAAATAATGGTATAAGTAGTAATCAGCTGTGAATGAGAAGTTGCAATCTGTTTTTAGAGAGATATTTGTGTTAATGGATAGTAGTAGTGATACTATAATGAATAGGAAGAGGGCGGTCTTTTCAAAAATATTGACATACAAACAATAGAATGTTTTATGATGGCAAGAAAAGGAAGTGTAAACTATTCCTTGATAAACATTATTATTTATTTAGAGAATAAATAATATTACACAGTGCCTTACAATAGGTAGAATGTACCACAGAAATGATGATACCTCTGCTCCAAGAGCTAAAAATATCAAGGCATATGCAAGTAAAGTACATAGCAAACAAATTGACAAATGGTCATTATAGCATCATCTGAAATGGCTGCAGATGTTGGTAAACTGCATCAAATATTATAATAAAAGCACATGGAAACTGAGAACATTTTTTCCATAACTATCAGTGTATACAGATCAACATTGCTTGGGAAGATGCTGATGATTGTTCCAAGTAGCAACACACATACTTACCCTTTTATTTCCTTACATTCAGGCAATGAGGCATACCGTTCAACCCCCCGGGCCACTGTAAGGCAAAAAACACAGTTGAGAGCCTCTAATCATGTAAGAGTGAGATTATCAAGCAATAAACCCCTTTTGCCATTAG